TTCTTCTTCTTCTTGTGGTCTCTTCATGTCACTGTATCGGGACGTAAAGGTTTTACTGATTTTCTACCTACTTCGATTTAATAATGCTCACTCTTCAACCCCTTCGACCTCATGTTAGTTTTTACATGATCCTGCCGTCTTCCTGACGGCCAAGCTTGTTCATTCATGGTCCTTTTCTGACTTTTTCTGATTATGCCAGTGCCCCACGACCACCGGGCCTTGTCCTCCCTGTACCACTTGTTGCACAATTCCGGAGGTCTTTGACTTGGCTTAGGGCGAGACATTGACTAGACGCGCGATGTTCACATCTTTTGCGTACATGCACTGCAACGCAAGACTCATGAATTACAGATCATCATGTAACCAATCGCTGGCATAGCGAAACACTGTTCAAGTTTCAAGTCTATGCAGCAAAAACTTTTTGGTACAACTATGTGTTTCAGACCGATAAGTTTAGTAGGGTACCAGCGAACACTCCGCTGCAACTGCAAAGAACATTTTCTGTCAAACGTCAGCCGCTCAAACCGCGTATTACCCTATGCTATTGAGTAATGCAGCAAAGCTTGCGTAATATTTATGCGATAACGCTTGAACGTCGTTGTGTTGCTCAGAACATAATGCTAGATTAATGAGTCAAGAGCAAAAGGCCCATATGATCAGTACACATATTTTTCGGTGACTAACTAATCCTCGATCTCTAGCATGTTGATACGAAATATAAACTTTGTAACACAAATATGGGTTTAATAATGATTTTGGAACCTCAGCTCATTTTTGTCCTTTTCCTCAACAAACTGGCACTTCAGTGGTTCTAGACACAATGAAACAGACTAATGGCATTTTACTATAACTGCCGAGGTTTCAGCCAAGCCAAATTTGCAAACACGGAGTTAAAAAATGCCGCGCGGTCACTTTGGGCGCGGCTCTCTCAAATTCATTGTTTGTCCTCACAATGGCCAATGTAGTTAAGCTAAAACGTCGACATGTCTATTAAATATAATTCCAGTCTGTTTCGCGTTATCTGGAGCAGTTGAAGGACCGGTATACTGTAACAATTTATTTTAACTCATTGAGAATTAATTAGGAGACGGCATTTTTTACATTTTCTGTCGTTTTTCTGGCTCCCCATGGCCACTGCGCCAACCTACTTCAAAGGCTTGTATCAGAGCTCTTTGAATTATTACAGCAGGTTCGATTGCTTAAATCTGTCTAAAAATAAAAAAGAACTGGTTAAATTTTCACAATTTATGATTTTACCTTTTGTTGCCCGGGTAACTCACTTCTTAAATGGCAGTCTTTGCTCATAAAGGTTTTTGCTTGTCTAAAATAAAGGTCATATTACAGAAATTTACAGCGGTTGTAGCAGTCACAAAATCGATCTTCCTTGCGCATAACGGCGTTTCATTAACGAAGGGGCATAATTCTTGCAGAACCGCACTGTGTGACGTATTGCGCCACTCATTTTGCCCCAAGTTGCTTAAAGGGATATTTAATTAATCAAAGACGCCATGGTATTTGAGTACCTGCAGTGTCACATGCATCTCTCATCATGTTAATTGTTAGAACAACGTTATGCTCATCAGAACTACATTTATCAGATTTTACTGATGAACATGCAATAAACAGTTAATTTTCTGCTGCCAAGTTATGCTTTCGCTGATTTTTACTTTCAATTCGTTCTAGATTTTATTTTGTAACAAACAATTTGACAGTGAATTAGAGTTCTTATCTTCATAACGCAAAATTGAGCAAGGAACTGGACCGAAGCAAGGACCTATGTTTACTACCAGCACCCTCACATTCCGGGTCTGCCTGAATGTGTTAAGAATGGTGTGAATATAGCGAACAGCAGAGTTTTCTTAAAGTCTAAAAAGAAATTAAGATCACTACCGTTCACTGCTGTAAAATACCGGATAAACATGCAACAGATATGGTGCACCAGATCGACTACCTGGCCTGCACTCGTAATACGCTGGTCAGATGTCATAGTCACTGAGCACAGAGTGGATGAGCACCAGCCAGCGGTCGCAGAGCAAGAAACATCGACAAACTTGGCAATAACCGCTGGATCGATTAATCTTCGTACTACTACTGAGCACCATCTTAATTTCGCCGAACCTAAATCCATTTTGACGGCAACCAACATCTTTGAGAGTCTTTTTAGAAGCAGGGCAAACTTTTATGAATATGGACAGTGGGCTTGACATCTCAACAAAACAGATTAACCTACAAAAATTTCTTGCAAATGGCTGTTTCGCAGGTATCTGCCGATGATGACGAATGCTCGATGGCAGATTGAGAAGTTCAGTTTGTTAATTAGAATTTATTATTGACATACCATAAGACACTGACTTTTGTGTGTCAAAACGGACGATTCAGCGAGTTACATTACTTGACGTAAGAGGGCTGGCTTCTCAATTCAAAACCTGGCTTCCGTTATGTCATGTGTATATGTATCTTCTGTCATCTTCCATTTTTTGGCTATCATTAACTGATTGAAAATACAAAAAACATTCAAAATACGCGACTGGCAATCAAGGAAACTATTTTTTCATATCTTCTATGACTTGATTGTCCAGTCTGTACGAAAAATGTTACTGTTCTTTTCTATTTTCTGATATCATCATTTGCGATGGCATAATAAAACTTTCATCACGCAGCTGCCAGCAATCAGAGAATTCGCTTCCTAAAAAACTTGCATTAAAGCATAGAGTCCATATGCCAACCCCCTGATTTTCCTCACCCAGTTAGCCAACCGTAATTTTAATCAGGGCTATTCTGTTGGACGTTTTTTGGAAGTATGATGATATTTTTCAACCCGAAGTTGTTGCTGTTGCTATTGTTCTGACATTCACCCTCACTGGTTTAGTCGGACCAGTGACGTCCGGCATTGCAGCTATTCATATTAATTGATTGCGTGCAATGTGTCCCCCCCCAAACATGATCAGCCAATCTGTCTTCCATCGTCTGGAACCATACACTTCCGGCCAAAAGAGGACTAGCATCTCTGACAGGTCGCACTAGGTCATAACTTGCCTGACTGCTAGATATGGATGCCGGCCTGTGACCAATAAACAACCATAGAGAGGTAATGGCGGATACCATCAGGTCCGTGCTGACGATATATCCGGTAAACCCGTCACCCACGAAATGGTCACATATAACCCAAAGACCGTCACTTAACAAAACGAGAATGTTCTCTAGGTAAGATCACCTGTGCCACTGAATAGAAGTAGATGGTTAAAAAAAATTTTGATGGTCCTCTTCCAGTCCTCCTGCATTACTCAGAGAAATCCAGGTCAACGCAACAAGCCACAAGTCTAACGGATCTTCTAATTCTGATTCATTAGGATGTCTACAGCGTTTGTCTTGCCATCTTTGGTTTGCGGCTAGATTTGGGAAGATCATGGATTAAATGTGACAATTCGTATAATAAATCAGGCAGCAGTTGAGAACCACTTGTTTAGGGAACCACCCTG